TTTAGCGAGCTTGTGTTCATTAACTGGTCAAACACGGTATAACAAAGTTTTTTAATAAACTTTTTAATCGTTTGTCTCATGATAAGCTTGGTCACTTGAGTTGTATCGGGTGATGGGGGCCGAATGCCCACGCTTTACCATTTGTATCACGGCGATCTAGTGCGATTGGCGGATTTCGATCCCCATTGTTCCCGTGAGTTCTGGTTTTCTGGGGGATCTGACTCAAAGTTGTTCCCTCGGTGGTCGTAGCGGCCTCCCTTTGTGATTCTTGATCTTTAGTATCCATGCTTCAGGAATTTCGATTCCGTTACCCCTGTTGATGTTATTAGGGTGAATTCTTATGTAGATAGCTTCCTTGAATCTTCTGTTGTACAAGTGTGAGTTTCAATCAATAAACTTATCTTCGTTCAAAAGCGGGCGGTGGCCGGTCTTTTTGGCGTGCTCAGAAACGGCGGAGGTCTGGGTAAGGGCTAAACGTATATCCCTCTCGTGTTCTTTCATCCTCTCTTGCATAGGTCTTCCCGTTTCATCAATGTAGATTTTCAGCATTCACAGGGAATTCTGTAAACCACGCTATCCTCTCTAGCTGCCTTGAAAGTGTCCTTTGGTCGTACCAAATGCGATCTAAGTGTAGTGTTGGACTTGAATACTTCGTGGAGGCCTTGCTGTTGTACGCAACGGCGAAGAGGCTCTGATACACTTTTCACATTGGGCAAAAGTGTTGTGGAGTTGAACTGTGTCACAGGCTCTCTGCCTAGGGAGGAGTTTCTTGTTTTCGTAGCCTTCTGCACAAAGGAGGAGGGATAACCGTTGGAAACAAGAACCGATGAGCAATGTTTCTTTTCCTCGGAGATGACTGATGGTTTTGCCACGTGACGCTTTGCCCGGTCAGACAAATACTTAACAATACCGCGCTTAAGTGATTGAGGGTGGTGTGAATCATACGCTAAGTACTGATCAGTGTGAATTGGTTTTTTGTAGACAATGGTGATCAAGCGTCTGTCTGGTTCCCTCGTAACTGACGTGTCGAGAAAAGCGAAAGAAATGGTGCCGTCCATAGTGAAATATCCATCACACTCAAAGACATATCTAGGCGGTCAGGTTACACTCACTGAATTGAAAATTCTTTCGCATCCCTCCTAATGGCAGAGATAACCAAAATATGGTTTCTGAAGCATACCTCTCCTTTAAGGGCTAAGCCCCATGTTTCAGGAATTTCATTCCCGGGGTAAACGCTAAGTACATCCAAGACACAGAACAGAACACATAAGCCTGCAATAGCGAGACAGGGAAGCAACGAAAGAATCATAGAGAGATTTCCTCAATAATGGTCGTTTAATAATGCTTCAGAAAACAATGGAAATTACTTAACGTAATTATAACGAAAAAGATAAAAAAAAAAACAAACAAAAGAAAAAAGGGACGAACGAGAAACAGAAATAATTAGGGGCTGTTGTCATCAGATTCGCTCCGGTAACTGAGATTACTTTCAGCACTTGGAGTCGGGTGTTGGACGGGAGGACCGATATGTGATTTATGAGTTGGTGAAGCATGAACATATTGCAATCTGCTTCCGTACGGATCTAGACTAGGAGAATGAGGATGACTTGAAGTAATTGGTTGGATTTCCGCGTAAGTGTTATATGGTTGGCCAGTGGGTGCGTAGATAGCTTCATTTTGGACTATGTAAACGGGCTCCGTCAAAACAACATGCTGGACGGATTTTCCTCTTTCAACGTCACGGCGATCTTGCTTTTTCTTAGTCGTCTCAGAGCTGAAAAGGATAGGTATAAGAGATACTTCTAAACGCTGTCATAAGAACATTTAATCGGATAAGACAATAAAAGAGGCACATATGAACGCTATCATCAGTACATGCAGTCGGAACAGGGGGAAAAAGTTACCTCTAAACAACAATATTTGAACATATCATCTGAAAAGGTTAAAAGGATACAAATCTGTTTTAATCCGTTGTAAATGCTGTTTAGAATCTACATTTTATCCTAATGAAAGGTTCTTTGACTAAGTGTTGACAAAAAAGGAAAAAACGTAAACAAACAGAAAAATGTAAGGTGAAAGAAGACGCTCTAAATTAAAACGTAACTAACCTTTTTTCAGCCCTTCTCTTCCTGCATAAACAAACGATAGACAAAAGGACTACCAGAACCAATCCAAGCAGTGCAGCAGGTGCAACGTACCACCCGCTACTAAAATCTCCTCTAAAGAATCCCAAAAGATTAGAATCTTCTACAACCGAAAAAAAAAACACGCACGAATGTTTAAAACAATATATTACCTCGATGATTTTTACTCAATCGGATTGATTAATTTTAAAGAGAAAAAAATCAATTAATCGACTTTCAGATCTGTGCTAATCACAGTTTGCCACCGTGATGTCTTGTTGTATCTACGGATGCCTAAGATTTTGGTTTCTCTCTCTTTATTGATGGTCAACAAAACGGTCGTTGGTGAGAAATCAACAAAGCACAATGAATAACGACAATAAAGAAAAAAAGAAAAAGGTGCAATGCGGAACAGTTTGAAATTTCTTTTCATTTTCACTAACCTGTCGTTGCACCCTCACTGTCATCTCTCAAAAGTTCTGTTTTTTTGTTTTGTTTTTTTTGTTTTTGTTGTTGTCAATAAAGCACGCTTTACCGGCACACATAACTTTCGTCATGTTCTGCGGAAAGTTCACAACGGCTCTCAGATCCTAACGTATCCTTAGAGACTTATCAGAAAAAGATCTGTAAACTTCTGCTCGAATGTAACACTGTCCTTTAATGAAAACTCAAAATTTACGACCTAGGGTTTTTTGCTGAAGGAATTTGAGAGGGAAAAATAGTAATCTCAATTTCTGGTCATTGGTAGTCTGAGGACGTTTGTTTCTCGCCTATTAGAGTGCAGCTTTCATCGAGAAAGCAGCACTCTTTTAATTAATTTTAATTTAATTAATCTTCTTCTTTATTTCTCGGATAAAAATGTTCACAAAATTTTTTTTTATCACAGTAATTGCCAAAAAAGTACAAACCTTCTATCTGCACTTCAATTTTTAAACGTATCTCACATCCGCCCTCTTTAAGTAAAACTTCGTAGATTCCCGCCTGCTCTAAATTTGCTGCATTTATTTCCAGCTCGGTTTTATTTGAATTCACAAAGGTATAATGAGGGTTTTTGCCATCAACGAGTTCTCCATCATGTGTCCAGATCAACGTGCCCAACTCTGATTTCTCGACTTTCAAGATGGCTTTATTACCAAGCTTCATCACAACGGGACTCTCGACGAGAGTCTTCAAGTCGACATCTGCAAGAAAGATCCAAGAAAGAGTGAGGGAAAGAGTGAGGGAGATGCCTGGAGAGGAGATGACAGAGTATTTACTTTGACTGACGCTAAGTAATTCAATAAGCATGCCATAAAGCCTTCTGCGGTGCGTTTAAGAAAATGCGCGGAATATCTCAAAATATTCAAATCTTACCGCGAACTTTCAGAAGAAATGAAGAATACTCAAACATGTCCGCAACTGACTGATCCTGTTTTGTAACAACGTAGGCGTAGTAGTCTCCAGCGAGGGAAGGTAAAATGTTATGTACATCCAACACTGTGTTGTTTTCCTTCAGGGAATAATGTTCATTTTCCTGCGCAATGAGTTCGGAGCCATGTAACCAACGCAACTCAAGGCCATTAAAATCGCCGACAATGTCAATTTTAAAGGAAACCTTATCACCAACACAGGCGTCGTTGAAAGGGTTGATCGGCTGAATGTGGACGCGACTTCCTGCAGTGATAGGATGACATTTTTAAAAACATTTTTTTGGTTCTAAAACGAATAGTCCTGGACAATTATTTCCGCGTGGATTCTTCACTTTTATCATTGAAAGGAGCGAGTGTTTCACTTATATTCAATATTGTACAAGAGGGTCTCAATGGGTTAACTGTTCGTCATAAAACGACAAGAAAATCCTAGCCGTTGGCGTAAAAATTTACAATTTTTAACTATCAATCATAACCATCACAATTTCCTCAAATGCGATGGGTGGATGACCTGCTTTATTTTTCACTAATCACTCTGTACAGTTGTAATCGGACAGTTGGCTGTAATTGGACTCTTGTAATCGGACAGTCGAAGCAGCCAATCATACGAAGTCCACCCAACAAAATCTACCAATCACAAAATTGATCACAATAGCCCTAGCAACAACCACTTACCCGAAAAAAAAAACTGGAAAATTTCCAAATTTTTTGCTTTAGACATTGTCCCTTGTGAAGATGTTTGTCCTAAATGTCTTTTTTTTTTTCGGAAATTGTAATGGTTACGATTGACAAATCGGAAATTGCAACAGTTATGATTAATTGGTAAGAGGACATCTTGTCGTCCAATACTGTCTGTAATTATACTCGTAATTGACAAATTGGATTCCCGCTTTTCGGTCGTCCAATTTTGTTAATCACTCGTATGATTACAGACCGAATTGGACTCCACTCGGTCCTATTACCATTATTAATCGTGGCAAAAGTTCACCGTGAAATTGTTTCTGTTAACTTTAACAGAAAGAATTTAACCGTTAGCCGTATTGAAATGGGCAAAAATTTAACCGTTAGCCGTAAAAGCCATCACTGGCCACTGAGACCCTCTGTCAATGGCTCATTTGGGATGTCATTTTGTGTGCAGTAGTATCATTGCTATCATACGAGATTTCCAGTGAAATTAAGTCTTAGTGATACTAGAAAGCGGATACTATTGTGGTATGATCACCGCACTGAAGAGACGATGGTTGGCCAGTCCGAAGTACAAATTAAGTAAACTTTTTAAAGTTATAAACCAGTCACACGACTGAGGTGATCCAAAGGCCAATAACTAAACTCGACCAATCAGGCCACTTTATCTCCTGCCTCACGAGAGCTGATACTCTTCCAACCACCTGCATGATTGATAAAACGTATATCGAGAAAGACAACCTTTAAAAACCGTCTTAGACCAAAGACAAGAACAACAATGCAAACCTAATATCCGCACTTCAATTTCTTTACGTATCTCGCATTGGCGCTTTCTGATAAAAACTTCGTAAATTCCTGCTTGTTCCGGGCCTGCGTTATAAATTTTCAGCTCAGTTTTACTAGGATTCACAAAGTTGTAGTGCGGTTCAGACCCTCGCACTATTTCTCCATTATGCCTCCATAGTAAATCTCCTTCCTGGGATTTCTTAATTTTCAATATGGCTATGCCACCACGCACTATTACAACAGGGCTCACGACCAGAACGTCGAGGTGCACATCTGTAAGGAGGATAAGAAAGAGTACTTTTCATGTCGTCGTCTGTGAAAGGTGTTGTGCTTTAGGTAACGAAGTGCACACTATTGGTAAAGTGAACGCTGACGTTTAAATCATGTTCTAGATGGAATAGCCCTAAATTATGATTTTTTTTTCTGAGGAAGAATTTACGATATTGTCGACAGGAGGGCTAATGGAAAAGGGGGGAAAGAGTAGTAGGGAAAAGAGCATAAAAAAGGCCTAAAAAGAAAGGAGGTGGTGAAGATTTAGGGAAAGAAGCAAGCAAGGTAGCAAGGAATGAGGGAAGGAGGGAGGGAGAGAAAGAATAAAGGAAGGAGAAGTAAATGGATGGGAGGAAGAGGGAGCTTAGGGTCGAGATGGCAGTTAGATCGAGTCTCTGTTAAAGCGCAACAGAGCTCTTTGCGATGTTTTGAACATACATTTTAAGTAACACTGATCTTACCGATAACTTTTAGATGAAAAAAGGCGGTAGCCAGTGGCCAGGAAGCGTGTTTTTTAAGGATAGAAACACGGTACTCTCCAGAGTGAATTGGTAAGGCGTTGAATACATAAAGAGTTGTATCGTCCGCTGAAATATGATAATGCTCATTTTCTAACAAGGGTTCGAAATTTTTCTCCCATTGGATTGTTATGTCAGAAGTGTCGCCTAAAATCTTTGTCTCAAGGGAAGCTGTACGGCCAACGCAGACTTCAGGTGAGCTATCGATTGGCAAAATGTCGGAGTTCCCTGTATTGAAAAAAAACAAACAAACAAAAAGAATGATTACTCTATGACCTTCGCATTTAACCCTGAAAGGGATAATTTGTTTATTTGCGTAGTGCAAAAATATTTCTTTTTTTTTGTTTTAATCAGTTGTTTTGAATTAAGTGCCGGTGGTAAGGACTTTGCCAAGTTTATATTACTATGTCTAGTTACACGACTATGTTGCTGACTGTTGAGTCATAAGTAGTCTTCAATATATAAGGAAAATACACCCTTGATACGTTTGTATGTCACACAACATTTAGCTATTTTCACTACTTCCTGAAAAGGAAGCTACTGTAGACTATTAAAAAGCGTAACACCAGACGCCTGGTTATTAGCGTCGAAAATTACACTCGCTGCTTTTTTTTGGTAGCTTAAAAACATGGCCTAAATTTTCCTTATCACAACTAGTCCAAATTGAACTGACATAATGCAATACAGATCTTATCATAGTATTATAATACAACAGCCTTTTTTTCATGGGCAGGCAAGATCTTATCTTTTTCAATACGCCAATTCTCTGAGACAACTTTTTACAAAGTTTCTCCAAATGGGAAGTAAATGAGAGTTCAGAGTCAATTTCGAGACCTAGCAGCTTAACACTAGTAACGAGTTTGAGATCAGTTCATTTTTTCATTAATCTTTGAGGGGAGACGCTTTTCAGTGATGAGCCTTGGTTTTGCCTTCATTAATTGGAAGTTTGTTCGAAGCTGCCCTTGGGTGACCCAAAGTGTGCAATACGTTGCCCGCAACAATGTTGCAAGATGTTGCTTTGAAATTTTGCGTGCGTTTGGCCGGGCCTTAATGGTTTATGCTGTTGACTCTGCTCTTTATAAGCCATAGTAAGTAAGTAATATCAACTGTTTCTCATTTTCAGGCGAATATTGTTCAGGCGAATTGCAAGGGGAGGGGTCATTTGCAACGTACATGCCAGAAGCCTTTCCGTTAGGGGGTAGATTCCTTGCAGTTTCCTCGTAGTTTCCTTGGTATTTTGTCATTATTATTATTATTAAATGAGTGCTCACAATGGTCGGTTATTTCTCGAGTACACTGAGCAAATGAAGAATATCCGACTCTCACTTAAAGTCATTTATTCAAATAAAAATAAACTGCACAGCATGTAAAATGATGATTCATAGCGTAAGTAAAGTCTCTTCATAAAAGCCCAAGGATGACTGGACAAACTGACCTAAAATTAATAAGACGTCTCGCATCCTTTAAATTAGAAAGGAGATAACTACATGATGCAGTTTTCATCTCTCTGAAAAAGCATTCGTTGCATTCACCAGTAGTAATTTAAGTTCTGTCTGCAATTGAAAAGTGGTGATACCATTTCTAAAGTTATACTATTTACACTAACCTATAAGTAAGTACGAAAGGTTTTTTCTCACCTTTACACAAACCAAGAACAATGATCTGTGTAAGCGTCTTGAAAAGAAACTTCATTGTCTCGATTAATTTCGTGCGTTATACCATGGACTTTAAATTATCTCAAGCAAACAGTTACCAGTAATTGTGATGCAATGAATAGTATATCCGCACGCGCGTGTGCCTTTACATCAGCGTTAGGTCAACTGGGTTGATAGTTAACAATCACTCGCCTCAGGCTCAGTGAGTATCGCTGAATAATCGCCGGGACGAAATCGAGAGCATTATTGTATTCAAAAATGGTACCTAAGCCTGAGGCGAACAATCGTGTTTGTATAACTGCTCAGGTGCTGTCGAATTTTGTTGTACATTCTGTAAATAGAGAAAGAATTGCGTATATTATTTTGCGATTGTCTCAGAACAAGATATGATTAACAGGCAGTTTTAATCGGTTAATTTAATTCAGTCAGCAAAAACTTCGCATCTTATCGAAAAAGATTCCGCCAGGCTTAGTAACATCTTTTGTGCACTTCGCAATTGAATTCTATGGCGTTTATCATATCCCCGAAAACATTTGTTTGATTTAGCAAGAGGACGGGAACGCCAGTCGAGCACGGCGCGCACAGCTAAAGACCAGTAAGAAACTGGGTCGAGAACATGGCCCCGATGTCTTTCAAAGGGACTTAGCAGTCGTTGCGATGAGACGTCAACGTAACATATTTGTTCTTGAATAACCTTAGCTCGGCTCTTTAAAGATCGCTATCCCAATTTCTCGGTTTCACCGACATCATTAAGGAAAACGAGATTGTCTTCTTTGAGAGTCACGGAAGAAGCACTAGATATTAATAGCGGAGCTCCAGCGTAGCCCCATAACCATACGAAATAGTAGTAACCCATCAAGCCGAAAAAATTTGGTTGTACGACCGTACGACCGTACAAGTTGCTACTTTTAGTATGCGCGGCCAAATGTACCACGGGCACTATCTTAGCCTTTACGTAATGGACGGGCGAGGGAGAAGGTAAAGGCACAATTGAAATCAAGAAAGAAAGTTAGAAAGGACGCCAAAATAGGCAGAATACGGCGAAAGGAACGCGAAAGAGAACAATAAGGGGCATAAGTAAAAAGGCGTGTATCTAGCGAAGAGCAACGCGAGAAGGAAATACAAAGTCGCTCCGGAAAACAGACTGAAAGAGGTCATCAACAAAGAGAAGCGAACTATAAAGGATTCGAGAAAGAAGAGGAGGTAAGTCGTGTCTTATCTGGGTTTTCTCTTACACCAAGACCCAGAACAAATTCAAACTTTTTTTTTACCAACCGTCGTTTGATACTAGCTTCAGCTTTTAATTCAACTGATCGCGTTTCGGTTAAACATTGACTCTAGCATTCATCGCCTAAAAACCCTCACGCCGGTTCATCGCTCGAATAATATTTCATAGTGTTCGTATTCTTCAAGTTATTTCTTTTCCTTTCGTTTAAAAGTTTAATACAGTCATGGTGTTATGGGAAAAGAAGTTATCTTTCGTATTTTGTTTTGCCTAGAAAGTTTTCAAATGAAGGCTAACGGCGAGCGCAAGTTTCTACTTTTTTTCTCTTTAGTTAATTACCGCAGGGTTTATTCTATTCATTTGAAAAATTCGTGCTTTGCCGAAGAGGTGTTGTCTTGATTAAGGTAATTTGATTTTGACAATATTGTCATGTGAGAACCCGTCAAACATCTGGGAATCAAATTACGGACCACAAATAAGTGGTGCAAACAAACTCACGGGTAAAATGGAGTTGGTTCTACATCGGAATGAGTGAATTTAATTGTTTGGCTGTCGTACTTTTCAGCGCTATGTTTTCATGCTCTCTATTCGATTCGTTCGAACTTCAGGAAATGGTTTGTCTCACAAAACATGGAGGCACTTTCTCTTCGCTCAACATCTCGGGGCGTTATGATGAACATGCTTGCGATACGATATTTTTTCCTCATCCTGGAAACTGAAGAATTAATCTCTAAAGTTGGTAGTCATCCTATTTTGCAAGAAGCGTCCGAGCTGTGATCGAGCAATTAAACGGGGTTCTGGCAATTTAACCTAACAAGCGTGCTGGTAAGCACATGGTTAGCGTAAATAATTATTGTTTACAGTTTTCGAATTCAAGGGCAGTTTTTGAGAGTCTGTTTCTGTAACCTTCCTGGATATTTTCTGTTAAATTCGTTGAGGTTCAGTCTCGGAATTTAATAGGCGATTATGAATGATAGATTCGTATCGGCACCATAATGTAGGGAAATTTTGTCAATATATTAACAGTTTACAATTCGCCAACTATTTCTGTGACCTGCTTGGATGTTCTCTTTTTAAGTAATCGAGTCACACCCTTGGAATTTCATTAGTAATTAAGAAGGACAAATCTGTATATATAGCACAAGTGAAGCACATTTTAAACTTTCGTACGATTTTAGAAAACTATACCTAATTAACTCTCGATAAATAGGCCTGACATAACTCGTTAATTATTTTATTATTTTGTAGCCCCAAAAGCCCGGCTTGTGACTCTGGAGGAACTGAACTTGATTTATTTGAATCACAAGGCACCCTTTAAGTAGGAAGGTTAGAATAAAATTGCTTTTATGACCATATGTATTGCACTCGATTTACATAATGTAGATAATTACTTAAAAAATACCTATTATAGCTGTATTCAGAAGCATAGACATGTAGGCAATATGCTTCTGCTTTATTTTACAGTAAGGGGTTTCTCTTTATGTAACATGTATCCATTCCTTTAATTTCCTTCTTAACCTGCCTGCAAATAATTGAATTTTATGTTTTAATTCAAGATAAAATAGAAGTCTTGCAGAGTTCTCATTCCAGATTGAATTCAGGTGAGAACATCAGTAAATAAGTTGAAATCATATGCTTCTCCTGAATCTTTAATTTTATCGCCCTGGTTTTTTTCACAAACCCCATTTTATATCTCTGTGTGATCATGACAGCTAATGATTAAAACCTCAGTGAATAGTTATGCCATATTTTAATAGTTTTTTAAATTCCATCTCTATGTTTTTGGCATTTAATATTATAAAATTCATAAATGGCATTCCCTTTTCATCCTTGTAAAGAGATATTGCACATTTCTTTAGCTAAAATATGAATTATGAAGTCAACTTAATTTCAATGAGTTTGAAACTTCATTCTACTTAAGAACACTTTACTGGAGTATAATGTTATATCTATTTGCTGTCTTTCTGGTACACATGATTACCATATGTCACTGAACCCCTTAACTCTCAAAATTTCATGAGTAATCCTCCTTACTGCCTGCCATACAATTTATGTGATGTTAGTTTGGAGAATGTGAAATTGGATCAACCAATAATCCCCTTATTGATATTTTTCTTTATTTTCATTACTTGTCTGCTTTATATCATACTAATAACGAAAGGAGAAATTCTGTCTTGATCACCAGTGGGAATAAACCCTTTAACTCCCAAGATCTCACTAGTAATTCTCCTTACTATCTCCCATACAGTTCTTATGATGTTAGTTTGGAGGATTTAGTATTGGATCATCTTTTAATCCTCCAACTGATATTTTTCTTCATTCTCATAACTTGTCTGCTTGATATTGTTTTGATATTGTAAGGAGAAATTCAGTCTTGGTCACTCATGGGAGTTAAAGGGTTAAAATGGGGGATCTCATCAGTGTAATGATGAAAATATTCATATGCTTTCAAATGTAACAGAAAATGTGATGAGAGTCTGACGTTATGAAACACTTGCAATGGAAAAACCTGTTACTGGTAGCTTACCGGTAAATTGTCTTTAATGCTTAATTTTCATTGGAAATGCTTTTCTTTGAAAGTGGGGATACAGGAGTTTTTAAAGCTGATAGAAATAAGCCATTTGCAAGTAATAAAAGGCTAATTGACAATCATACCTTAATACTTGACATGCTTCACTCATACATGTCAGTTGTGTGTACCTACCATTGTAGAGGTGTCTTTGAAAAGGTTTTTTTTTTTTACACAAGGCAACCTCCAGGGTGGAAGAGTAAAAGAGCATAGAATGATGTTTACTTGGCATTTGTACTTACTGCAATTATATATTCAAGCAGTACTCTACCTAATTACATGATGTCTTACCCTTTTCACCCTTATATCAGAATGCATATTCTCCATACTGTTCTCTATATATTTCTGAATGTGCTGGTAAGGAGAATTTGTCTAACAATAAGAGGTTCTTCAGTTGATTATCATTTCCTCTATCCTCATGACCTTAATCTGTAATTCAGGGGTGATATTGAAAGGAGAAATTAGATGCTAGTCACTCTCAGGGATTAAAGTGTTAATAACTGTACACATTTTCATGTATATGCTCCTCGCATTTGTTGGCAACAGTAGCTAAGATTGTTAGGAAAGCAAACAAGGGAAACTGTAAACTTTACCATGTGTTAGAAAAAAACATCACAGAATACTTAAGAGGGGAAACTTGAATATTATTGTGCTAGCTAATTTCCTCTATTGCCATTCATGTTTTTGATCGAATAAAATTTATCCCTTTAACTCCCAGTTCAAATTTGTTATTCTCCTTACTGTCAACTATACAATTCTTGTTTGTTCTAAGAATTTAGTACTGGATCAACTAATTATCCCCAAATTTATATTTTTCTTCATTCTCATCACTTACCTGATTGATATTGTATAGATATTGTTAGGAGAAATTCTGCCTTGGTCACTCATGGGAGTTAAAGGGTTAATCAGTTGTAAGGTTTGCCTACAATGTGTCAAATTGCCAGTGTGGACTTTATTCTTCTCAGATGTCAGCTGGTAAAAGATAGATACTTAAAATAGCTGTCCATAAGAAAAAGTACACATCATTAAAAAAATCACTCTGAGGTGGTGGCATGATTGATTTGTGATATTTAGAATGACAGAAGCAGGAAATACACATTGAGCTTTTTCCTATTCACCAGTAAGTTAATTATATTTTGGATTCTACATTCAAACTGGGTGAGATTAAATTTATTCATATCACACTTCATTATGGTTTGTTTACCTGGAAAGGTAATTGTTATTTTAGCTTCACAGATTTTTTTGTTGTAATCACAATTTAAAACATTCATAACAAAGTTTCATTTTACATAGAATGTTTCAAGAACTCTCTTCCTTTCTCTTCAATACCATTTAAGGTAGCAGGTTATTAAAAAAAATTATAACTTTTGATTCAGGAAATTATTTGAATATGTGAGCAACATTTGATGTTTTCACATGTAACAGGATGATCAAGCTGAAGATAGCCTTAAAAAGGATTGAACTCTGCTGTAAGAATTGGGTGACTAATTTGGAAACTTAAGCACTTGGTAAATACACCTTGGCTTGCAATTCTGATGATTACAGTTTGCTGAGGTAATTGAAATGTTAGTCCCCATGCAGTGAACCTTACACTTGACCTGTACAGTCAAGTGCTATGAAATAACTTTAATGCATTTGTGTTGGCAGAACTATTGTAAATATAGTACCACCTAGAGACAAAAATAAACACAGGTGGCCCAAGTTCATGTCTCGAGGAAAAGCCAACGATGAATTCATGAATGCATCACGTGTTGTGTGACTGTGTTAAGTTACGGGAGGAACCGTTGAAATTTTGAACACGTTATAAGGAATAGTATGGGGAACAAAATACGGTCGATTTACAACAATAAATATTTCGAAATATGAATATTTTACATGTAAAATCAATAAAACTTACTCATGCCCTGTGTATCTGTCGTAATTTCTGGCGATTTCTGCCGTTTTAAGCTTGCTTTACATACTATTCCTTATAACGTGTTCAAAATTTCAACGGTTCCTCCCGTAACTTAACACCGAGTCACACAACGCGTGACACGTTCATGAATTCATCGTTGGCTTTTTCTCGAGACGTGAGCTTGGGCCACCTGTGTTTATTTTTGTCTCTAGGTGGTACTAGGTTGGGAGAAGTTATGGTGGGAAATGACCCTTCTTTTGCTAGGATGCATAGGGTCTGATGATTGTAATGTATATCTTTTAGTTTTCAAACTTTCAACTTTGTATTAGTTGTAGCTGTTTACCATATCTACTCTCTGTACCTTAAGCCCTCAAAAGTTGAAGTAGGCAAGTCAATAACCTGACTTCCTCTGTTTGGAATTGTGTGATTATATAATTTTGCTGTGTAAGTTACCATACTGTAACATGTAATATAATTATTTAGATTGCATTTACACTAGCTCAAGTTTTCATTAATGCATGGTGTTTGTTATCAGTGGTCCTACCCAAACTGAACATCGAAATAAGGAATTGGTCATAAGATATGTGAGTTTAAGAGGGTGGGAATCTGGAAAAACAAGGATCCTCCTTTAATTGGGACTGAAATTAATGGGGGCCGTCTTATTTTAATTCATATTTTTAATTTGACCTGCCTCCTCCCCTGTAATGTTTAGGGCACATAGATGAAGAGAACATTTTTTGTATTTTGATGCATGAAAGTTAAATTACCAATAATTGGCATCCACATAATCACAAAGCAAGAATGTAAAGCTTTAGCTTAATAGGTTAAAAAATTAAAATAAGGGAGTTTTGCAGACCATGTCTGACTTTTTATCCCGGCTCTGGATATTTATTCAAATAACATAGTCACAATCAGTCTCACTCACTCTCACTTTCCACTGAGCTTGTGGAAAGATGATAACATCATTATTTCTTTCAATGAAGAAAGGAAATCCTGTCCTCTTACCAAGGATAGTTCTGTTGGGCATCATTAGTACAAACGTGGTCTAATTTTTACATGTAGGTGATTGTTCCAGGTAGGCTAACCTTAAAAATTAGTTATAAAAATTTCTTGAACCTGTTGTTTTACGTCTTGAACATTTGACTCAATTATACCTCACCAACCTAAACTGAATACATAGAAACATGAAATTTATTTGTTCTCCTTTTGAGGGGGGCATCAAAATTTCAAAGTGATCACAGGCTTAAACTACAGGTTTACAGGAAATCTACAAGTGCATGTGTTTTCAATATATGAAACTGGGATTATGACTACTTCAAAAGACTTTACTACATGCCATATAGGTACAGGCAGGTGTTGTAAAAAAAAGTTTGCTCAGTTTTTTCATTAGTAAACATTTCTTTTTCTAAGAATTCTGTTTATCCAGCCTGTGCTGAATTCTAATGTTTCAACCAAATTTTATTATTTTTTTTAATTGTTTTAGATCTCCTGGTATCATTTAATGTTCATGTAATTAAAATAATTACATCAAATCTTGCAGATGTATGGCACATTATTCTTTTCTGATCCTCCTAACATTTTACCATGTGAAGGGACTGGTATTGGCTATAAAAGTATAGTCAAATTAAAGTTATTTGCACAACCTATGCATCAAGTTTTTGTTATAAAATATTGTGTCCTTCTTAAAACTAGTTTATCAGAATAAGAATGAGTTACTGGGCACAAGTATGGCTTTCAAGATCAGATAGTTTCCAGGTTTGAAAAAAAGTCACTGCCTACTAAGTCCTCAGTTCTTTTGCCCTGACAGCCCAGCCTCATCAAAACATTGCCAACAGGAGTCAATCAGCAAATTATTGATACAGACAAGAGGGCTTATCCCTACATACATCCTCCTCAATCCTGCTAGCTTACTATGGACATGGCATTTCAAACATGGTGTATATGCCGCAAGTTTTCCATTTCCCTGACTAATTATTTTGTAATAGTGTTTATATGTTGAGGAAAATGGTTGGGTTGAAATGTAATACAAAGACTTGCCAGTAGATAGTCAGATGAAAACTTTTTACATATCAATATAATGTATTGTTGTGTTTCATGTTAACATGTTGCAACAACTCCACCTCCCAGTAAATAAACATAAGAAAATACCATCTAAAACTTTTCAACCCATTTAATATAGCCAATAACAACATCAACTCAACTTCTAAACTTAAGAGAAAAATTGATTGATGTTTGGAATTGATTTTTGATGTAAAAATGAAATCCAGGTATCAGCTCAAGTTTTCTAAAAGACACCCACATTACATGCAGTTACAGCAGAGGTTATCGAATTAAATAACAGAAAAAATCTCAAAAAGACGTCGTTTATTTCCAGCCAGAGGACAATCATGAAACATGAAACATGAAACAAGAGAAGCCAAAGCGAAAAAGTTTTCATAAATTACACAGGTTCAAACACGAGTTGAAAATTACTTTTTTTTTCAATTTTCTACGCTAAACAGAGGAGGCTGAAACGTTGGGGAAAAACGGTGGGGTAGCAGTCATACCTGGCAACTTCAAGAGAAGATATAAGAGAAGCCCATACGACTCTGGCGTATAGTTTTACTGACTTACCGTGCTCACTGCACGTATTCACCTCAATCCACTAGTAATGTCTTAACGCAAAGTGGTTTACCGTCGTTTCTTTCAATTTTGGCTTATTTTCCCAAACCGAAATTATAAGTCACGCACAATAGGATTTAATTTCAACTGATGCTAACAGCATGCCCTTCATCTGAAGAAGAAAGCACTCCCTATCTTCGAAAACCTGGTCACAACATCAAGAACAACGACGAAAGTAGTAAGCTGTCTGAAGATACCGCTGACTAGCATGTGTGTAGTTGTGAGAACATCGTCCCCAGGTCCAGACTTTGTCAATTCTTCCCCACCTCCCCACCCCCCAAACTGGTCTTTCAATTCATTGAAGAAACTCTTCTACAGCCAGTGCTGCAGACTTATATTACAGTTATTATTCATTATAACGAAGGGCTGGAAAATAAACTAACAAGAGCTCCGCCTTAGGCTTGGCTAAATCTATATATTATGAAGCCATGCAGAAATCAAGCGATCCAACGACGGAGTTGTCTGCGATGACTTCTTGTTTAACGATGAAAGAATGAAATGAACTCAAACTAGTCCCTGGAGAAAATGGTTTGGCTTTGGGATATGACTTCGTTTTTTTTTTTTTTTTTTTTTTTTTTAGATAAAGTCGTTGAATGACTCGATGAATTTACTTACAGACTATAGCGCCGCTGACAATATACCAAGGGCGTAGTTCCCCACGCTATGTGCGTTGCCTGGGCTTTGTTTGTAGTTTGCTAAGTTCAGTTTTTAGCTAGGGAGTTTGAGTCTGTAGGAAGCAATAGCTTTGGTTTGTCGCCGGATAGATCCTCGCACGTAAATCGTGGTTTACGAGAATACAAGGACCGGAGTCTGGACGCATACAAGTTGTTGCACTGTGGTTGGCTGTTGCCTCTGCCCTTATGGCAGAGGGTATGCCTGTCACTGCTTGTCTCTTAGAGATGGCTTTAATATTCTGAATAAGAAATGGCATGCAAAAATAAGGCAAGAAGAGAGAGAGATTGGTGGTGGAAATGAAGAAATTAGAGGAGTTGAAAAGCTGTTAGAGGAGTTAGTGGAAATGGAGACGGAGTCTGAGAAGATAGTAGAGTAGGAGAATGAGGCAAGGAAATTAGTGGAAGGGGAGAAAAAAAAGACAATGGAGATGTGGGAAAGAGCCATGGAGAAGTTAAACGTGACCAAAAAGAGGCACGGCGAAACAGAAAAGAGTGAGGGGAAGAGGAGAAAAAAACAAGACGATCAGGGGGAGAAGCAATAGAGTTATGAGATAAAAGGGAGAGACTGGGTACAAAGTGAAGGAGAAAGAACAATCCAAGAAAGAAAGGGAGGCCCAGAGAACTTAAAAGAACAGTTCATGATACAAATGCAAGCTCAAAATGAGCGGAAGAAATTTTTTCAGCAACAAATGTGCCAACAGTAGAATCAGCAACGACAACAATTTGCAATATTACAGAATCAAATAAGACAAGTTTTGTCCCATCAGGTATACGCATTCCAACAACTTTCTAAGACAGATTAAGCAAGGCCAATTCTCAAAGTAATTTTACTTAACCTGTGTAATAATGTTGCTGCTGGAAAGTAACTTTTATCTTCTTTTAAGAAAAAAAAAAGCTTTTAGTGAACTTCAATTTAACATTTATAAAGGAATTACACTCGTGTAGGAATGCATTATTATCTGAGTGTATGAGTTTTGTACATGAAACAACATTTTAAATGAAATGTAGCCTGTTTATTAGAGAAAGCGTAAAGGCTAATTAAATTTATTAAAGAAAAATTTTGGTCAGGCCATAGTAAATTTTAGAAGGAATATGAATAAAAATAGAAAATGACAATTTTGAAAAATCGACTTCAAAATAATTTTAGGAGTGTCTATGCTACATGATTAAACTGTTCTGAAACTACTTTCTCAAAAATGGAAGCTATGAAGATTGTTATGTTATGTTTACCAGAAGTAAAAAAGTAATCGATATATATACTAAGCGCCCTTGATACAGTGGTAGAACACATTACCTAGGGGCTAGGGTTTATATACTTTTAAGCTGTGAAAATTACATGACTTTTCAAGAAATTCCATGACCTAAGTCAGCAAGTGTATTGATTGATTCATTCCAAATGGCACAAAATTTGGATGTCACTCAAGACTGAAAAATGTAAAATTACAAAAATGGGTGATTTTACCAAATTCTTCAAATCTTGAAAATATGACACAAAACAGTGGCACAAATTATTGCACTTTCTGTGCAAAAGAAAATTATATGTATCAATGTGCAAGTCATTACTAATACAATTTTTTTTCCAATTTTTAACCCACCCCCACCAGTATGTGCGACCCTTCATTGGCCTAAGTGTGAAAATTTACCGCTACATTTTTACTGAATTGGAGCACAACCGCTTGCAAGTGATCCAAGATTTCAGGACTCAGTTCACTTTTAATTGACAATGTTAAGGATTTTCTTTAGTACATTTCTTTTACCTCATACAGGATAAAAACTCTGTCTATGTGATTCTTTTGAATTTGCAAAAAAAATTGCAGCATGTTGAAGTTTAACGTAGTAAATCAAAAGTAAATGAAATATCACGAAGATAACCTACTGTATTATTCTTGTTGTTTGTCGTTGTCGTTTTCACCGTGATAGTTGAATGCTCTGCGGCTTGGAGTCAGAGATGAACAATTTGAGAATAGCTCAGGTTTGGACTTTTTTTCAATCAGCAGCGATGATAAGACAAGAAATTCATGCCTACACCACAAAAGAAAATGACAATCAGTTCTATCTCGACACAGCTTTCTACTTCTATTAATTTTGAAGAGGCCAGCTACACCTGGCGAAAATAAATACGACACAACATGCAACTTGTATGCGTCCAGACTCCGGTCCTTCTATTCTTGCGAGGATCTATTCGACGACGATTCAAAGCTATTACTTCTTACAGGATAGCCTCAAACTCCTTAGCTAAAAACTAAACTTGGCAAACTACAAACGAAGCCCAAGGTATATTGTCAGCAGCGTTGTAGTATGTAAGTAAATTCAACGAATCTTACAACGACTTGATCTGTTGAGAAAAAAAAGGAAAAGAAAAAAAAAAAAAAGAAACGAAGTCATATCCGAAAGCCAAACCGTTTACACCGGAGATAAGTTTGAGTTCATTTCATTCTTTCATCGTTGAACAAGAAGTTATCGCAAACAGCTCCGTCGTTGGGTCGCTTGGTTTCTGCATGGCCTCATGTTAATATTTAGCGCTTGTTGCGTGACTCTCAAAGATAATTTCGTTTTCCTTAATGCTGTCTGTGAAACCGAGCATTTGGGATAGCGATCCATAAAGAGCCGAGCTGAGTTTATTCAAGAACAAGTATGTTACGTTGACGTCTCGTCACAACGACTGTTAAGTCTATCTGAAAGACATCGGGGCCACGTTCTCGACCCAGTTTCTTACTGGTCTTTTGCTGTGCGCGCCGTGGTCAACTGACGTTCCCGTCCCCTTGCTAAATCAACCAAATGTTTTCGGGGATATGATAAACGCCATATAATTCAATTGCGAAGTGCACAAAAGATGTTACTAAGCTTGACGGAACCTTTTTCAAAGGTAAGATGTGAAGATTTTGCTGATTGATTTAAATTAACCTGTTAATACTGCCTGTTTACCTTGATATGAGTAATCAAAACAATTGCAAAATAACATGTGCAATTCTTTCTTATTTACAGAATGTACAACAGAGTTCGACAGCACCTGAGCAATTGTACAAACACGTTTGTTCGCGTCAGGCTCAGGGAACATTTTTGAATACAACAATGCTCTCGATTTCGTCCCGGCGATTATTCAGCGATACTCACTTGACCTAACGCTGATGTAAAGGCACATGCGCGTGCGGATTATGCTTTCCATTGCATCACAATTACTGGTAACTATTTCCTTGAGTCCGCGGTATGACGGACGGAACTAATCAAGACGATGAAGTTTCTTTTTAAGACGCTTACACAGATCATTGTTCTTGGTTTGTGTAAAGGTGAGAAAAAGCCTTCTTACTTACCTGTAGGTTAGTGTAAACAGTGTAACCTTAGAAATGGTATCACCACTTTTCAATTGCAGACAGAACATAAATTACTACTGGTGAATGCAATGAATGCTTTTTCAGAGAGATGAAAACTGCATTATGTAATTATCTCCTTACCAATTTAAAGGATGCGAGACGTCTTATTTATTTTAGGCCAGTTTGTCTAATCATCCTGAGACTTTTATGAAGAGACTTTACTTACGCTACGAATCATCATTTTACATGCTGTGCAGTTTATTTTTATTTGAATAAATGACTTTAAGTGAGAGTCGGATATTCTTCATTTGCTCTGTGCTCGAGAAATTACCGACCATTGTGAGCACTCATTTCTTATGTTTAAAAAAAAATAATAACAACAATAAGAATAACAAAATACCCAGGAAACTACAAGGAAACTACAAGGAATCTACCACCTGGTGGAAAGGCTTCTGGCATGTACGTTGCAAATTACCCCTTCCCCAACCCTCACTTCTATTTCGATGATCACTCTTTGTAATGCGCCTGTACAATATTCGCCTGAATATGAGAGACAGTTAATACTACTTACTATGGCTTATAAAGGGCAGAGTCCACAGCATAAGCCATTAAGGCCCAACCAAACGTACGCAACATTTCAAAGCAACATCTTGCAACATTGTTGCACGCAACGTGTTGTACACGTTGGGCACCCCATCACCTCCCGTGTAACAACATGTAGCATGTTGGATAGTGTTGGATCAAGTTTAAAAATAGTCAAATATTTGTTCCTACATTTTTGGATGTTGCAAGATGTTGCACACGTTTGTACAGCTCCTTCACAACATCTTACACGTGTTGCATTAAAATGTTGCGTGCATTTGACCTTTAGACTGTCTTTTCGCTTTAGCTAATAAACCCTACTAATATTAAGCATTTTTAAGCTTTACCATGCCCCTTAGTAAATCGGGTAAATACTACTAGGCCTGGATTCAGGAATAAAGGGGTAAGTTTCTAAAGAAACTGTGGTGCTGCGTCGGTGGGAGAGTATAGCAGGTAATTAAGTGTTAACAACTGAGTTGAAAACGTAAATTAGCCACCGTAAAGGGTAAAAAAGCTGACGTTTCGAGCGTTAGCCCTTCGTCAGAGCGATTAGACTTTAGACGATTTTTGTATATATTTCTCTAGAGATATCATCAGCTTTTATACATATTTATATTGATAAAGAACTTCTATATTTCCTTAGTTTTATTTATTTTGTACTTTGACTTTGTATATTCGAAAAATGTTGTTGTAATTTCAATTTTAGATAGAGGGCCGCAAATTTAATAGTTACTGTAACTATTCCGTGCTACCCTCTTAAAACAAAGTGTACTATTATCTTCGATTTTCCACCACAGATAGCAATTAGTATTAAAAGGCTCTTTGGCAAAGTCCTTACCAACGGCACTTAATTCAAAAGAACCGATTAAAACAAGAAGAGAGGTATTTTTGCACTACGCAAACAAAAAAATTATCCGAGAGCCCTGTTATAATAGAGCGTGGAGGCGTAGCCATGTTGAAAGTTAGCAAATCCCAGGAGGGAGATTTACTATGGATGCATGGTGGAGAAATGGTGCAAGGGTCTGAACCGCACTACACCTTTGCGAATTCCAGTAAAACTGAGCTGGAAATTTATGATGCAGGCCCGGAGCAGGCAGGAATTTACGAAGTTTTAATCAAAAAAGGCAAATGTGAGATACGTAAAGAAATCGAAGTGCGGATATTAGGTTTGCATCACTGTTCTTGTCTTTGGTCTAAGACGGTTTTAAAGGTTGTCTTTCTCGATATACGTTTTATCAATCATGCAGGTGGTTGGAAGAGTATCAGTTCTAGTGGGGCAGGAGATAAAGTGGCCTGATTGGTCGAGTTTAGTTATTGGCCTTTGGATCACCTTAGTCGTGTGACTGGTTTATAACTTTAAAAATTTTACTCAATTTGTACTTCGGACTGGCCAACCATCGTCTCTTCAGTGTGGTGATCATACTACAATAGTATCCGCTTTCAAGTATCACTAAGACTTAATTTCACTGGACATCTCGAAAAATGGCAATGATACTACTGCACACAAAATCACATCCCAAATGAGCCATTGACAGAGGGTCTCAGTGGCCAGTGATGGCTTTTACGGATAACAGTTAAATTTTTACCCATTTCTATTTTTCTATTGGTTGAATTCATTCCGTTAAAGTTAACAGAAACAAACGTACGCA